ATCTTTGTATTCAAAGCCAGCGGGGGCCATTCAGGGCCGGTGGGGCGGGGCCGCCGGCGCACCCGGAAAGTGCGCGGGGCGCGGGCACAGGGGGCCGCCCCGCCGCCCTTACTCGCATCCCGCCCCGAACACCCACCCGCGCGCGGTGCGAGAGGTAGAGACCAGCTGTCGTCTCCGTTCTGTGGTCGCAGCCTGGGACTCGCACTTCTAACCGCCCCTCCAGCACCCACCGGACGCCGCTGCGCGCGGAGCTCGAGTGCGCCCTACGCGGGTGGGGGTCTGAGCGGAGACAACTGTCGGGCACCCTTGCCCGACCCCAGGACTGGGTAGTTGGACTCCGGAGGCGGGTACGGTGCGGGGAGCCCCCTAGAGGCGGCCCCGGAGACTCGGGGCCTCGGCGAGACAGGGGGTGGGCGGCGTGGAGGCGGCGCTCAGCCGGAGACCGGGACCCTGACTGCCGCGCACTGGGCGTCCGAGGGGCGACGAGGGCTGGGGACGGAGGGTTCCCTGAGAGCCTGGGTTTTGGGCCCTGGGACTCCCCTTGCCGGGTACCCGGACCTGGCCCCCCCCATCTCGAAGTGAGTTCTACGAGTGGGGATGGCGGCAGCGGGTGGAGGGGGCTTTCGGATGGCGTGTCTCGGGGTAGCTGACCCCAGGCGAGGCTCGGACCCGGGTTAGGGGCGCCAGCCTAAGACCGCGCGGCATGGGCTGTGCTGCCGCCCAGCGGCCGCGGCCGGCACTACGTCCAGGGTCCCGGTGGTCTGAGGCTGGCACGACCCCCGCCCGCACTTCGCTGCGCGCAGGCGCCCCCTCTTCCGCCTGCTGCGGGCGACGGGGCCGGAGTCCTCCGGCTAGCACCCTGCTCCACCGTTGCCGGATCTGGAGCCCAGTACAAGTCTCCTGGAAGGTGGCCAAGGCACGTCGGGGGGTTGGCCGATTGGCCGACTGAGCGACCCAGGTGAGCTGGGGAGGGCCCTTTGCCCCCAGGCGGTGGGTAGGGGCAGGCTAGCAGCAGGAGCCTTGGCCGGGGTTGGGGGTGCGTTAGGGATGGAAAGCCTTTCGGATGGGACTGAGCAGGCCAAGGCCAGTGTCGGCCAGGACCAGCCAGGCCATCTGACTGGGGAGTTCGGGCTGCAGCCACCAGAGCTGGCTTTACTGCGTGAGGACAGGGTGAAGGTGCAAGATGCCCAGAGGGAGAAAGCCAGAAAGGATGTGGAGATTCCCGGGTCTGCCCAGGTCCCCTTTGGATGACCTCGGAGAAAACGCCCAGCGGGCCCTGAGCAGTGTGGCCGAACTTGCAACCCTGCCAATCTGTGGGGCTTGGAGGGGTGGGATGGGACCAGAACATGGGGGCACCTGTGGAAGGGCTGTTGTAGAGGCCCCCTGCAGTGCGGCCAGCAGCACCTTCAGCGTGTCTGAGGAAAGGCGGGGTGTTGACCCCATAGCAGCTCCTGGCTTCTGAAGTCCCCAGAAGGAGATCCACACTGAGGCCTGGGCATGTAACATCGCAGTCGTCATCGAGCAGGTGGCGGTGACGTGCTGGTCTCCTTTTTGTTTGAATGGGGAAGAGAGGACGTTTCAGGATCCTGGGGCCGCGAGTGAACGGTGAGCAGGACACAGGATCCATCACAGCTCTGCGGACATGGCCGCCACATGTCCCACTCAGGACACAGACCACATCCATCCCTCAGGATCATCAGAGCCAGTCGCGGGGTGCTACCAGATCACCCTACAGAGCCTAGAGCCTCAGCAGAGGGGGCCAGGGATGGGCAAGGCTCTGATGGCCCCGTGGAATTGCACTGGCGTTGCAGACTCTTCCGGCTGCCACCCCACCCCACCCGATTCCAACGGAAGCACCTGTTCTGAGTATGTGCAGGAGAAGAACTCACTTGATTTGAAGACTTGTCCGCTCAGAGATGGAGCCTGAAGACCAGCTTTACCCACAATATGCATTTCCCCAGTGGATAAACCCTCTGTTGGTACCCTGTGGACAAGAATACCCAAGGCAACTGAGTTCAAAACCTACCATCAGCTTCCTAAAGAGACATGACAAAATTCAAACAGCGGCGGTGTAAACAAGACAGAATGTATTTCTCATCAGAGAAGCTGCAGTCGGTGAGCCTGGGCTGCTGTGTGGCTTGGGGTGTAGGTTCCTCAGATATTGTCCCGCTAGGTGGGCCTTTCGCTTACATGGCTCCGAATGGCAATCAGGATCCAACCATCAAGTCTACATTCAGCCAACAGCGAGGAACAAGAGGCCAGCTAGGGCTTGGGTCCTTTCCTTCCAGGACACTTCCTGGAAGTGGCTCTTGCCACATTTGCTCGCATCCTGTTGCCTAGAACTTAGGTGAGGGAGGCTGGGAAATGTGGTGTTGACTTTAAACAAAAAACAAGATATTTTTCCAACAAAATGAGTTTATTTGGGAACCATGGAGAATTATAATTCTGGACATGGTGACTCTAAGTGGCCACGAGAACAAAGGAGGGGAACCTTTTACAGAGTAAAGAGGGGAGGTGGGCGGGGTTGTTGTAAACAGCCGGTTGCGGGAAACGGGAGGTTGGAAATGTCGCGGCTTCTTATTGGCCGAGAGGTTGCCAGGAGGCGGAGCTCCTCCTCCCGCCTGCTGGAGGCGGAGAGCAGTCCCTTCCGGTTTGGGGTGATTGACGTGAGTGGTGGGGCGAGGCGCGCCCCCTACAGGTGGCCCCCCACTCCAAACTGCGTGACGCTTCTGTTATTAATCCCGCACATGTTTCAGTCGCGGCGGTGCCGGCTAGTCGCGGGGTCATAGAAGAAGGGCTGTGGTTGCGGGATGGATGTGGGGGGGGCAGTCCGTCCAGCCCCGGTGACACCAACATCCAGGCAGCGCTGTCTGTGCTTCACGTCCGCCCCGCTGGGGACACACGCAGCTCTCTAGCTTTGGCGTTTGTATGAAGGACTTTCTGAGAATTGACTTGACAGTGGACGGAGCAGAAGGAAAGATGGAAACGCCCCTGGGCCTCGCCACTGGCGCCTGTGCGGCGCCCAAGAGAGACGCGAGCCGCCGGAGTCACCCTCAGCACGCCGTTGGGGTCGCGATGAGTCTCACGGGCAGGGTTCGGTTTCGCCCTCCGAACTCCAGCCCTGTCTTCCGCAGGAGACTTCGTGTCATAGATTAGGGCACAGCTTGTGTGGCCACCGGGAAATTAACCGGTTTCTGCTCTAATGGCCCAGGAAGTGCTCCCTGGGAACCGCCCGAGCAGAAAGAGACGCGGGCGAGGACAGCCTTTTGCCCCGGCGCTCCTGGCTGCGCCGTTCTCGCCTCGGCCTCGCTCACCCTTATCTCACAGGAGAGTAATCAGTAACCCAGCACTTCGGATTCTCAAGGCTGTGGGGTCCATAAAACCATCCTTCCCTAGTCTTCTGTGATGGCTCTGTGTGGGTGGCTTCTTTTCATTTTAATCGAGGCTAAAAGAAGATCGTTAGGTTTATCTTTGATATTCCTAAAAAGCAATTTACTGTGGTACAATTCACAAAGAATAAAATGCAGCCATTTAGAGTGTGGTAAGTATTGATAGACGTTTGCACCCACAAAACAAACACCATAATTAAAATAAAGAACATTTCCATCACCCCCAAAAAGTTCTCCCATGGACCTTCCCAGCCACCGCCCTGGCCCCTGGCCCCGGGTCACCACTGATCTGATTCCAGCACCATGGGTCATTTGTGCCTCCTCTAGACTCGTATAGGTCCGCGTGGTAAGTGGTTTCGAGCCTGCTCTGGCCTCCGGCATGCGACGCTTTTGAGATGCATCCACCTTGTGCCATGTTTCAGTAACTTCTGGGGGGAGGGTAGGACTTTTGTCCTTTTTCTGTTGTTTTCACCAGAAAAATCTGGCTGACACCACGCAAAACATAGGACAGTTTTTATTGGTAGTTTTCGACTGACAGATTTGATTTCCTTGATAAAAGCCCTGGCATCAAGAGGACACCTCAGAGAGCCCTGGGGAGTGGCCCAGGCCCACCCCTCACAGTGCCGACATGGCCCGTCCTCTCCCGGGCGCTGAGCCAGCCTCACCCGGGAGACGGGGCCAGGCTCACTGCCTGGACGGCTGCTGGCTTGAGACCCGGGGCCTCTCCTATGCCAGAGAAGAGAGGAGCGAGCTGTGTACCCAGTCACTTTGCGGGTGGTCCCCATGCCTGGGGCTGGAACCCCAGGCGCCCCGCCCTCTTCATGCACCAAAGGGACAGGGGTTGGAGCGTCACCTGCACAGCCAGCGGGTTCATGACTCTCCCTAGCTCACAGGTCACGGTGTCCGGTTCTTCCTGTGACACCAGAGCAGAAACATGGGGATGGGAAAACCTGGCCCCTCACCTTCCCTGTGACGGCACGGGCGCCACGTCGCCCACGTCCCCCACGTCCCCCATGGAATTCTGCCGACCGTGCAGCACGAATCGGTCACAGGGAAGAACTTACTTCCCACAGAGTGAATGCCAGCAGCACCTGAGGGTTGGGGATGGTATCAAGGGATGACGGTGTCGCCACGCGGAGGTCCCGGATGAACGGCCACCCTGGGTGCTTGGCTTTCTCACAGGTGAAACAGGTGTCACCAGGACTAATTCAGGGTGCATCTCCTAGTCTTGGAGTCATCTGCCATGGGCACGGTGCCCCGAGGACCTCCCGCGAGATATCTGCTCCAGGAGGAGCTTTCGAAGGGTCGGTGTGAATCTTGACAGGAGGTGACCTGTGGACGCTGCCAGCGTCAGTGGAAGGTTTTGCCCACGAAGAGGTGGCGGCTGACCCGGTGGTCAGTGCTCCCAGTGGTCAGTGCTCCCAGACTGGGCTGCAGTGCTGTTGGGAGGGGAGCAGATGAAGATGCTGGCAGTCACTTGATCCTCCTGTTCAACGCTCCCCTCAGACCGCAGGTTACTTCCCCCTTTGGGAGACAGACATCCATCGACCCTCTGGGAGTCTGGGCTCACGAAATGGGTAGGCGGGGGAGCTGGAAGAAAGGGGGTGCCTCCCAAGGGCCTGGACACAAGGGCACAGTCTCAGGGACCCCCGAATTTGGGCTCTGAAGCATGGGCTGCTTTACAGCAGGGGAGTGACTGACTGTGGCCCTGGTGCCACCAACAGGACAGAGACTCACCTCGGAGCCGATGAAGACAAGGGGCGAGCAGGGGCCCTGCAGCCCTCGGAGGCGTCACCGGCCACTGGGAGGACACCAAGGAGGGTGGCTGTGGGGCTGAGGGCACCCGCAGGGCTTACGTCTGTGACTTTCCTTTTCCAGGGTCCTGGCTCTTTGCGAGAATAGTGGAAACCAGGAGGTTTGGGGTGTTGTACAGGGAGCTTCACTGGCCGGACTTGAAAATGAAGAATTTTAGCGGTTTTCTCCCAGGTGATTCATCTATGGCACGAGCACCTGCTTCGCCAGATTGACAGGCTGTGGAGGGCACAATCCCCACGGGGTGTTCCAGCACTTTGCCAAGAGATAGGGTTTGTTTTGCTTTGTTTTTTATTAGCTAGAATCCCCAGAGCTTGTTAATCTTTATTTAAAAAAATGTTTTAATTGAGGTAACGTTGGTTAACAAGATTTCACAAATTTCTGGTGTACAATACAGTATCGACACCCGTCTACTCCGCCGAGTGTTCACCAACCAGGTCTGGTGTCCCCCCCGTCACCTGGTATGTGACCTTTTCACACATTCAGTGCAGCTGAGCAGGAACCAGCTTTCCAGGAGAGAAGGCTCTAAGCCCAACTCTGCAGACTTACTAAATGCGTTAAATCATCCGAGTGTGGACTTTGATTTATACATTCTTCCCGGAGTATATTACATTAAACAACAGTAACCTTTCACAACGCCAGTCAAAAATGATATGGTTTCCGGGGATAAATCTAACAAAAATGAGCAAGACCTGCATGCAGATTACCAAGCTCTAATGAAAGAGGCCTTCGTGAGTGCGCGGCAGGCCAGGAACCCGTCCCTCAAACCTGTCCTTGAGCCCCTGCAATCCCAACGAACCTTCTAAGGTGTTTCAGAGGATTCGACAAAGTCAAGTTCTAAGGGAAAAAGCCTAAGAAGAGCCCAAGAAGTGACTGTTTGAGAAAAACAATGTCCTGCCAGCTGCCATGACCCATGCAGACATAACAGAGCCGGGCCCCTGGACACCTGAATGATAACAGAATGAGAATTAGAGCCTCTGAAAGAGAAGGAACTAGGTCATGAATAAATCAATACAGTGAAACTTAAAAATCAAAAATTAAATATAATAGCGTGTGGTATGCAGTATTTCGCAAAACTGACAGTTAAGGTACTTGGTAAGCAGGCACTTAGCTTGGAGAAGGCTGAATTGGGGCTCGGGCCACCAGAAGTCCTTGAGCTGTCCAGATGAAGGTGTAAGGCCAGTTAAGTTAGGTGTTCACAGTATAAATGCCGACCTATTAAGGAGAAAAATGGAACGCCCGCATTGGGCAGAACCACCACCCCATAAAAGCAAGAAAAAAAAAAAACTACAGAAAAATAAGACAACTAAAAGACAAACACACAAAAATGTCACAAAAGTAAGTTCAAGTCTCTGTGTGAGCCTCTGTCACACACACCCGTTAAAAGGGACTGGACGGCGGGCCTGGACACAGCCCTCCAATGTAGGCTCCTTTGTCACCTATTCTCCTCAGAGGGTGGGACTCCTTCCCCCAGACGCCCAGCAAGTGGGGTGCGGGTGGACAGAGCTGAGCTGACACAGCCCCAGGCTCCCAGATCTGGCTGCCTCCCAGCCCCCGACCCCCAGGGAGCT